TATAAAGTAAGTTAATAACATTATTTTTCTTATTAAAAAGAAAATCTCCAGCCTTGCTTTGATGCTCTTATATCTTTTACCGTATGGGTGCATGTGGTCCCCCGGCATCTGAGGAGGGGTCAGACCCTGTCTGAAGGGGTCCAGGTCCCAGTTCTGCTGCTCCAGTGAGGTGGGTCCCATCAGCTGCTGCTGCTGATGAACATGGACGAAAGAGGGTCCCAGGTGCTTCATGTCAGAGGTCACACTACCACAGGGGGGCGCTACAGAACACAAAATCAATAAACTGTTGAACATCATTCATTAAGCTGGTGAAGATTCTCAGTCATCCAGGACATGATAAATTCAAAAAACGTTCAATACAAAAACAACTGGGCTTTATTTGTTCATTTAGAGCTGCTGGAACTCTCACTCATCTTAAGGATAATTAAAGAATTTTGCACTAAAATAAGAATTTTAAATCCTCTAAATCCTTTGCATCAGACTCGTGTGCTGTTATACTCTTTCCTGGAAAACGTATTTGTAGCAACTTTTTGCATATACACTAAATCTATTGTCATAAATGATAAGAATTCCGATTAAAACCTTTGTCATGTGATGGGCCATCACACTGATCCTGGGTCTGCTGCTGCTGCTCCTGCTGCTGCTGTCTCCTGGCCAGTTTCTTCATCTAAACAACACACAAATCAAAAATATAAGGAAAATAAATCCTCTTTTGTCCACAAAGTATTAACAGTAAGGTGCAGGGTGTCTGTCATCGAGTGTAGGAAACCAAACAACAGTTGACTCTGTGAGGAAAATATTGAGTTTAATCTACGGTGAGCTCTCGGCTTGTCATCAGCTTCCTGTAAGAATAAATAACCCATCTGATTTGAGTCTGGCTTCCCTGCACGGTGCAGAAAGAGTGTTTTCATTTGCAAAGACCAATTCAAGGTCCTCTTAAGTGATGTTTCAAGGTCACAACTTTGTTTCTGTGTTATGATTAAAACATTTGGGGGATTGCAACATGACGTGTGTGTGTGTGTGAGAGAGAGAGAGAGAGAGAGAGAGAGAGAGAGAGAGAGAGAGAGAGTGTGTGTACTGTACTTTGGCTCTCTGGTTCTGGAACCAGACCTGCACAACGCGAACACTCAGGCCGGTCTCTGCTGCCAAGGTCTCCCTCACCTTGAATCAAAATTCAGAAAGATAAGAGTTTTAAAAAAGGCCATAAAATACAGCCATATTGAAGGTGATGACATTTATTTCATAAAAAGAATGATGTGAGAACAAACTGAATCTGCAGCGCGTTCAGATTTTCTAAAGACAATTCTGTGTGACAAATTTACCAATGAAAGTATTTTCAATATTCAATATTTCATGTTTAAGATCTGATGAGGATTTCTATCACCATATATCACCCAAAATGTTCAGCTTCATAGTCTTTGCAAGAAAATACAACCAGAAAGTTTTAAGAAAACCTCAGATTTTGCATCTTATAGTGAAAATGTTTTTATTTAAAAATCCATCTCTGGGATAGAGTTTATAGGGTGTGGTCCAGAAATCTTTGCTGTTTGTACCGATATGATGCAGGAAAATACCAAATAAATGCTCTACCTTTCTACAAGGCTTGGATGAAACCTCGAAGGATGCCTTGAAGGCATGTCTCTGCCGAGTGGTCAGAATGGTGCGGAGCCTTTTGGGACGTTTGCTGTCTGGATTGTCTGCTCTGCCTCGTCTACCTGCTGTTCTTGCAGATTCCTCCTCTTCATCATCATCACTTTTACCTGGTGAGAAGCCGAGATTACGAAAACATTCACGTAAAGGTAAATATTAGAAAAAAACATCTCGTCTCGTGTCTTTCATTTGAATTAATGGACACAAAATGTGCATGTTAGTGACAGCTTTTTCTGTTTTTGTTTTTTTGTTTATTTGTTTTTACTTAAAATGTACGACAATCTTCACTTCATTGCAATAGTTTAATAAATGCTTCTTGAAACTCCCAGAGTGCCTAAAGATGCAGCCCAGAGCACTTGTTTTTATGCACTGATGGAAAAATTCAGATACAGTTTCTGTTTCATTCTGAAAAATAATGTGATCAAATAAACTCAATCAAAAAGCTCTTTTAAAGTAGTTAATCACATAAAAGTAACCAAATTGTTTTTTTTTTCTTTAATTTTGATCTGAATGGTAAAGAAAAACAAATAAAATATTGTGAAATCAATTATATATGAGATACATTTTTTAAAGGTTATTTCTTTAAGAAAGCCACCCTGATCATCGAGGACCCCTCACATCCACTACACAACTGCATCCAGATGTTTCCATCAAACAGGCGTTACTGAGTCCCTCTGGCCAGGAAGAATATTTATAAGAAATGATTTGTACCATCTGCAATAATGTTCTTCAACAAAGCTAAATAGACAAATCTTAATGGTGTTAACTAATGGTGATAATATGGTTTTTATTATGTTCTATTGTTGGTTCTTGTGTATAATGAATGCAGAGCATGTCAAATCATCATTTCTGCCACAATTTTGGAAGACAATAATCTTTTATAGTATCTTATTGTAGTGAGTCACGTGGGTACGTGTCACTAGTTGTAGTATGACAATATATCCCCGTTTATATGCATACTATATTCACGAGTTCTTCATCTTTCTGACTGTGTAATGCCGTGCATTGAATTTAACAGAAATGCGAACGAGAGACGTTATTATCTTTGACCCATCAAATGAATGGAGTCATTTATTTTCAGAATCAAAGTTTAACATCAAACATTTACATTAATTTGGCAAAATATGAAAATAATAACAGACAGTTTCACAAATAATGAACTTCAAATCACTCGGCGGTGATTTGAGGACTTTGCTTCAGATATTTCTAAAATATCTGTACTGGTTTTGTGAGAGAGAGAAGAGTTTAAGATGAGATGGAGATTTTCTTACAGAGAACTATGTGAGAGAATTAATATCTGTTGACCAGAACGTGCACGCTTCATCAGATTTCAGCTCGCTTCCGGTACACTTTAGTCGAAGAAGAGACCGTTACCTTGTTGATGATAGATCAGCTCGATAGAGAGTCCTCCAGACCTTTCAGCGTCTCCGTTGAGAGCTGCTGAAATCCTTAGATAGTCGTGCGTGGGTTGTTCAAACAGAAGTTATAATTCCAACGTCTCTGACTCTCCTGAATTCTCGAATTCTCTTCCATTCACTTCACCATTCTCCATGAATTCTAACCAATTCTCTTCAGAACTCCTTGAGCACTGCTTCAGAACTGCTTCCGAACTACATGAGAACCGCTCCAGAACCATTCCAACTCTCAGAACTCTTCAGAACTGTTTTAGAACTGGAAAGTTGCCACATTTTAAATGGGTCGACTTCCGGTTCAATTTAGAGCTTTCTGATTCGTGGATGTACCAGAAAGAGGTGTGGTTTTTGACGTAAGGTATTATCAAGAGTCGAGGTCAGGAAATGAGATTTGTTTAACAACTGACAGAGAGATTATTGCAAAAAGCAGACTTCGTGGAGTCTCTATTCTGATTATCTTCTCAAATAGTTAAACATGACATTTCTTCTTCAGTAAACATTTAGTTGACCGAAGCTTCAACTTTCACATACTTACGACTTGACTCATTTCAGACAGAAAATCAAGAAATGCATATTCAGGTGATTTCTTCTTTGAATGAGGAATAAAAATCATTACTTACTGTTTATGTAAAATAAAAATGAGTAGTTCTTTTCAACCTGTAAGCATTGAGTGAAACTAACACAATTTGATTATCAAAACATTTGTAAGACAGTAATGATTATAAAGAATTGTCTTTTCTGCTTGATTAATTCAAGAAAGAAAGTCATCAGATGGCTCAGACTTATTCAGATCAATGAAAATAACAGTCTCTGTCCATCTGGTAGATTTGAGGTCATCAGGGTCAGATAAGGGTCAGATCATCAGGTCATCTGGTTCACTACATTATCTTATCTTATCTTATCTTATCTTATCTTATCTAAGTAGTAATTTGATAAACATCACTGCTAATACTTGTGGCTGAACATAAATAAACAAAAAAAATTAATCTAGCATGTTTTATAATGATCCAACTGGATTTACGCAAATTGTCTCGTGATTTTCTCGTCTTCATCATAGAACAAAACATCAGACAGCATTACTTCATGTCACACTAAATAGATCACAAGTTAGCCTTTATTAAATCACACACAGAGAAAGCAGATTCTCCCAAGTTGCTTTAAAATGATTTTTTTGTTTGTTGGTCATTTTATGTTCAATACAACTTGAGTATGGGCAAGACCAGCTGTGGGCAACCTAAGGTCTGAGGGCCAAAAGTGGTCCTTGGATAATTTCCATCAGGCCCCCATGTCCTTAGTTCAAAAGAAAACATTTTTTTAAATAGATGTGTTTAAAAAACAGCAATATAGCAACAAGACTTAAGGAAATTTAAATTAAACATCTTACACAAAACTTCTTTTTATAAATATTTTTAAGTCATTGTGTTTCCAGAACCTTCAAGACGTAGAAAAACAAATATATTTTGCACATTTCAACTAACGTGTTTAACATGTTAAGCTAACGTGTATAACATGTTAAATTAACATGTATAATATGTTAAACTAACGTGCATAACACGTTAAGTTAACGTGTATACTACTGCAACTCCCTTCTTTATGGCCTCCACAACAAATCTCTCCAGAAGCTGCAATTGGTCCAGAACTCAGCTGCCCGTGTCATCACTCAAACCTCCTCCTATAACCACATCACTCCAGTCCTGCAGCAGCTCCACTGGCTCCCGGTTAAATCACGCATTGTCTTCAAAATTCTTCTTCTCACTTTCAAAGCTATCCACAACCTTTCCCCTCCGTACCTATCTGACCTCCTACACATCTCCATCCCCTCTCGCTCTCTCAGATCCTCCTCTTCACTACACCTCCATGTACCCTCTGCCCACCTCTCCACCATGGGGAGCAGGGCCTTCACCTGCTCTGCCCCTCATCTCTGGAACTCTCTACCCCCTGACTTACGAAACACCACCTCTCTTTCTCTATTCAAGACTGCTCTGAAAACACATTTCTTTAGACTCACTTATCCTTAACTTTGCTGTATGTATTTTATATTCTTTATCTATTTTATATTCTGTATGTATTTTCTTACTGTAAAGTGTCCTTGAGTGTCCTTAAAGGCACTTTTTAAATAAAATGACTATTATTATTATTATTATTATTATTATGACATGTTAAACTAACGTGTATAACATGTTGCGCTAACGTGTATAACATGTTAAACTAAAGTGCATAACATGTTAAGTTAACATGTATAACATGTTAAGTTAACGTGTATAACGTTAATATAACATGTTAAGTTAACGTGTATAACATGTTAAGCTAACATGTATAACATATTAAGCCAATGTGCATAACATAAGTTAATGTGTATAACATGTTAAGCTAACATGTATAACATCTTAATTTAACATGTTAAGTTAACATGTATAACATGTTAAGCTATGTGCCAACGTGTATAACATGTTATGCTAACGTGTATAACATGTTAAGCTAATGTGTATAACATGTTAATATAACATATTAAGTTAATGTGCATAACATGTTAAGTTAATGTGTATAACTTGTTAAGCTAACATATATAACATGTTAAGCTAATGTGTATAACATGATAAATTAACTTGTATAACATTTTAATATAACATGTTAACGTATATAACATGTTACATTAACGTGTATAACTTGTTAAGCTAATGTGTATAACATGTTAAAATAACATGTATAACATGTTAAGCTAATGTGTATATTGTCACAAGAATGCGTCTTTCTAAAAATATTGAAAAGACATGTTTTTATAAAGCATGCTAACTTATGTCATAAAGAATGTTTTCCCATTCTCCATGCGTCCCTTTAATTGCTTTAAACGTCTTGATATGGCCCTTTGGAAATAAAATGTTGCCGACCTCTGAGCTAGACTATTAAGAAAACGCCATCATCTCTATAATTTCTGACTAATGAGAAGCAGTCTTTATGATACACCCTGCAATGGTTCATGTGCCAAATCACTCATGCACAAATTAAGCAATATCTAATTAAACAAACATAATTCACATTAAAAGTGTTAATGTGCTCTCAGCCGTCTGTTTGTGACACTTTCTATTTTAGATTGTACAGCTCCATTTAAACACTCAGGAGCAGTTACACTGCAAGTATAATAAAACCCATTTTTTGTTAAAATTGAGAAAGTTTTATTATATGTGCTATAACAATTATTTGTTGAATAAACAGAAAACCATGTAAAAATGGTTTAATGATGAAGCAATTTTTATTGTACCCTAAAACATCTGAGTGGACTCAGGAAAATCTTTTTGTTTTGTTTGGTCTGGTTACTTTAAGTAAGTAGTTCAAAATTATTTTAATTAATAAATATTTGTATTTTTTTCAGTACTTAGATTTGTTTGATTTTGTTTTTTTATGTGTGAAACAAAAATTGAGCTCATTATATGAAGCATTATTTTGTGTTACTTGTGTGAAAATACAATCAAACAAGAATTTGACAGGAATGACACGATTAAACCTGGCACAACAAACTCATTCAGCTATTTCTATTATAAATATTTATTCACCTTTAAAATGAATTAAACTTATAGGTTACACATTATTTGCTTCATTGTAAAATTTGTGTAAACAAATTTTAATAAGTGGAAAATTGCTTAATTAATTTGAAAAATTAGGTTTTTTTTACATTGCATTTACATTTAAAAAAAAATTGTTGTATTAAGGCAATAGATTTATGTTTTGTATATTTTATTTATTCAACTAAAAATTAGTTGTTAATTTATTTTACCTGGAGTGGGCTGGGTCTGTACCTGTGTCTGAAGACAGTGGACTGGACTCACACTGGTGGTAGTCCTCTCTATCACACAGAAGCTGTCCGTCCCTGAGGACACAGTGGTCTCCGGTCTGCAGACGGCAGGAACAGACGCTGCAGGTGAAGCAGCGCAGGTGGAACACGGTAGATCCCGCATGCATCACCAGCTCTGCAGGACGGACGGCCTTCTCGCAGCCCCCACAGCGCACTGCAAACAGACTGGACAGAGAGGACGAACAGGAACTGTGAACACTAACAGGAAACCATGCTTTGGTCTGGGTTAGACGCTTGGGGACTATTCTCACCTCAGTAAAAAGGGACTTCATGAGAAAAAAAATATACGTGCTAGACTAAGGTAGTGCTGTTGAGTCGAGCTGTCAATCAAAACCACTGCCCCTGTCTGACTTCTCCCCTTTCTTTCATCTCCCCCTCCTGCTTCGACCATTAGACACATACCCTTGGTGTGTTGGGCGTGTATCTTAGCGCCTGGCAACCAGGAATGGTAGGCTTACGCACAGCGAGTGTTGCTGTGGTTCCAACTATGGTGTCCGAGGCCGGGCTATCCAGGGGCGCAGGAAAAAAGGGCTCTCGACAGGCCATGGCTCCAGGCAGAGGGGGGGAATCAGCTCTCCTGGTGGGAGAGACTGAGCCACTGGTCGCAGGAATTATCTTTAAGTCTGCCTAACCAGAGCTGGACAAAGACTGAGTCAGCCCCCAAGCAGCAGGACCATTGTCCACTGGATGGCTCCACCACGTTTAGAGTCTGTCAGTGTGGAGGATGCGTCATCATTCTGGAGCTGGTTTGTTTCCAGACCTGACTGGGTCACCAGACCAGTCAGCAAAGAGGCATGAGAAAGCAGCAGCTTTTCCCTTCTCTTGTTTTCACTTAAAATAACTGAATATGTCCAAGCAAACAAACTAATTCACATTTTCTTGTCCTTTTAAACTATTAAATAAATGCAAGTTGTGTTAACAACTGTAGAGTGACAGTGGGATGTTTCCTCCATAACAAAACTCAAATGCACGAAATATGAAATAAAAAAAAAACACTTTTACTGAACAGACATTTTTAACTGTATGAAATTTACAAAACAATGATTATTTGTTTACTTTATAGAAAAGCTCTTCTAGCAAAACTAATATTGTATTTTGTCCTTATATTTGACTGATTTTGCTTGTTATCATAAACAAATAAAGGATTAAGAATTTATTATACTGAAAAATATTGGCATTGTCTATTAAAATGAATTATTGATAGTAAGGCTGGGACGGGTTCAAATTGTTTTTTAGCTTTAACACTGTAATGATAAAAATGTTTTTGTTGTGTTCAGTCCTAGCTTTACTGCTGACATTTGTCCTGCTGACCCACTGGCGTCAGAAGAATTTGTAAGGTGGGGGGACACACTAGTAGTGGGGTCTGGGGGTCCTCCCCCATAAATTTTTTAATAAAGTAAATGCCATTTCCTCCGTTCTGATGTATTTTAACGTGTTGTTAAACATCTACGTTTACCTACATAAGTAAACACAAAATAATTATTTTAGAGAGCACAGCACCATGCTCCTTAGCGTTTAGCTTGCAGAAGTGCTAGCTAAGATGCTACAAACATATAGCGCTCCGCTTCTCTCATGCAAAAAGCTTCTTTCATTTGAGTTAAGACACAGCAAATCTTCACTCAGCATTGACTGGAGAATCAATCCATGTCTTAGTTACAGCCAACTTGACTATTTTTAATGTTCTTCATGTTGGGCTCAGTCAAGTCTCCCTTTTGCACTTGTCCCAAATTGCTCATCTCTCAACTGGATCTTGTAGATCTGAGCACATTTCCCTAACAGATGTTTCTAGCATCTGTAAAATCATAACCATTTTTATTTAGGGTTTTTTTTTTGTTCAGTTTCCTGTGGTAGCACTTTTCATTTGCACTGACTTTTAAAGATAAGACCTATGAATAATTTCTGTATGTTTTATTAAAATGTTTCGAGCTTCATATAATATTTTGGCAACAGACAGATCTGACTTTGCCTCTTCATTGGCAGTTTTAAGAAAATGTATGCTTTTGACTAATGTGACTTCAGAGTTTCGAGTTGTCACCTCACAGCGAGAAGGTTGCAGGATCGAAACCCCACCCCCCTCGACCTGAGGGCTTTGTTTGTGGAATTTAGATGTTTTTCCTGAGCGCTCACAGACCAGAAACATGCATGTTAGGTTAATTGGTAACTCTAACTTGCCTCTGCGTGTAAGAGAAAGAACGAATGGTCGTTTGTCTCACAGTGACCGTTGACAACAGGCTCCAGATCTCCAGAAAGGAAAAACAGGTTGAAGAAAATGGATGAACAATTTCAGAAACCTTCTCTAAATGTGCCAAAAATGACACATGACTTCCTTCTGGATGTATTTCAAATTAAAGTTTTGCTAAATATTTGGACCGGACCACTTGACCCATGCAACTCGACCTCCCCCCGGTGTCATTCAAGGTATGTGCTTTAATATGGCTGAAATACCATGAGAGGAATGTGCATTCCTGTGGCAACACAAGATGCATCAGACAAGCATTACAAAGGAAGTGTGTCTGAGAAAAAACCCAGGATGGTTGTGGGTCTCTGCGGTGCAGCAAAGTACTCAATCTGACGTCGGTGTGTGATCCTACAGATGTCAGCGGAGAACAAGCTGCGGGAACTAATGTGTTGAGATCGTTTGTGTTTCGAGAATCGCAGTTCCAGTACTGTCCAGTTGTTTTAAGAGTCTTTATTGCGAAGGTAAAAGCTCCTTGGATACTTACGGAGCTGCTCCGGGTGTTTAATATTTCAGTTTCCGCTGACATGATTGGCTCTGTGGCTCAGCCCCACGAGCGGGAACACTCAGACATGCTGGATCTAGACCCAGCAATTAGTGACTGGACCTGCACAGGGGAACAAGTCAACAAACTCTTGCACTCTGACGTAACATGCTTATGTCTAATATAGATACAGTGTTCAAACGTTTTTAAGGAGATCTTCACATGTTCTTGTTATGATCTTGGGCAAACTAACGGCTGGTCTGCTGGACGGGCAGAGAGACAGATCCTGTTTCTGGATCAGGTTAACCTGGATCCTTTGCTGAGCACAAACCAGCTGCGTATCAGATGTACACGTTCAGGTCAAGTGCAGCAGCAGACACGCTGCCGCTCTGATGACCAACCTGCTGCTCAGTCCACGAGCCCGCTCAACTCATCTAGATTTATTGATAGTCCCACCAACCTAAACATCCTCCACCTCAGTTTTAATAAATGATACAGCAGCTTCCTGCTTGTTACCTACTGACTGACTGATTCAGGTCAGGTACACACATACATGATTAATTATCGCCCGTAAACACAAAGCTGGACAACAATGCTTTTGCATGATGGCGTTCAAGATGGCTGCCACAGCTCAGTGACCTTAAAAACACAAAGAACTGACTCTAACTCAGTCAGTTTTACAGTTTTTGTACTAAAACTTGGTATGATAGAAGCTGAGAGTCATAACACATACTCCAAGTATCCATCGCGTTAGAGCTCTGCTTTAAACTAGCATCAGTCGGAGTCGACTCTGTTAGTCTGTTAAATTATCTCGAAACACAGTGAGGAGATTTTCACAAATTGCTTAGAAACTAGTCATTGGATGTGCATCGACAGCTGATTAACTTTTGGAGTCAATCCTGCTCAAGATGGCCGTCACAGCTATTTGACAACACTCGGTTTTACAGCTACTGAGCTAAATATTGACGTGACGTACACATACACGTACTCTGACCTTGAAATCTTTCAAAAACCACAAGGTTTTGCTAATATCTGATGTGCACTCCTTCAAGAAATGCAAGGCCTTTATTTTTTTATTTTTTTTTTTTACTTTAGTCATTAAAATAAATACGTGTTAAATGTTTTGAATGGGGGGAGTGGTGGCGCAGAGGTTAGAAGATGGGCTTGTGATCGGAAAGTCGCAGGTTCACCTCCCGGTACCGTCAACATCAAAATGTGGGTGGAAAAGGTGAAACACCCACACCTGCCTCCACCCTCATTGGCCCCACCCTGGGCCCCTGATCAAGGCCCCCAACCCCCACCATCCGCTCCCCAAACAGGTCTCGCTTGAAAAAGAGTTCTCGTGGCTCAATGTGACTACCTGGATAAATAAAGGGCAAATTATTATTATTTTTTTTAATTACGCCTCAACTTAATGCTTTAAAAGCAAAACTGCTTTGTGTTTAACCTTATAACAAATCTGAAAGTATTTATTTTCCTGTCAGTATGTTTTATGCTTTTTTTCTCTTCAGATTGCACAGTAAAACCAACATAAATTGCATTTTGTGATACAGCCATCCTTTCAGACAGCATTTAAAAAAAAATTACAGAAGCAAACCTGCTGGTCCGTCTGGCACTCGACTATGCTGGAAAGGTAAAAACAAAGCAAGCTGCAGACAGTTGTTACAGCGTGTGGTAAGAAACAAATGTCGTCACAGTATGGAGGGATCACGCTCCAGAGCTGCGGCTAATAAACAAAGACAGCGAAAAGAGAGACGGTTTGTTTGGAGATACAATTCTGGCACCGTTGTAAAGTGCTCACTGAGGGCCTTCATGTGAAAATGGGGTGTCATACCCATCCAGATGGAACAGTGGAGCAGCGGAGGGAGGAGATGGAGTGGGTTTCAGAGGTGGAGCCTTGGCACCAGGCCTCCTGCTAATTGATCAGCTCAGATATCTCACGGTCGGCTGGGCGTCGTCCCATTGCTCCACACAGGGCCTGCCGTACCGAGAGCCTTCCAGATGCCACAGCGCATAACGCCAGGGCTCATGGAGCGCTCCGTCCCCCAAAATAAGTTCACGCCATCCTCACCCTCCTTACAGCAGACCTTCTGATATGTACGCTCCTAATTACCTCAGTTCTGCTCGCTGCTGCTGTCTTTACTGGACACACAGGCACTTTGAAATGTGGACTTCTGCTTCTCAGGTATTCCATACATCTGTAAAATGTCTGCAGAGGATTCAAAAGTTCATTTTTAAATATTTAAAATGGAAGCAAACATACTTCCTGTATGAAAAACTTGACTGCTTTGTACGGCAAAAAAAAAAATGTTCTGATGGGTTGGGTTATATTCGGCTCTTGTTCAGGTGAGGCAGTAAAGATGAGGGGTGTTTTTTAGTGGTATCAAAGGGGACCATATGTCATCCCCAGCTTGCAGCTGCCATGCCAATGACCCTCAACGTTTTAACACGTTTTGACAACGTGTCACTGGAGCTCTACACCCCATGGCTGTGTGTGAAGGTGTGATTTAGCGCATGTGTGGATGTATGCACTAAACAATAGTTCCCTTACATTCCAGCTCCCTTAACGTCCCCTTCCTTCCTACAGTCACCTTGTTCTCTCTGTGTCTAGTTTCCTGGAAGTCACAGAGCTGATGAGCACCAGGGCTTGCCCGTAAAATGCACTTGGATTATAAAACACTCAGAGCTGCGTTTATTCTCCATCAATGGGGAACACTTCCTATATTCTTCTTTCAATCACTGCCTGTGATGCACACACACTCTCACAGAGGCAAATACACACGTGGCTGATTCTGAGTCTAGGTCAGCCTACGTGGGCATTCGCTCGTCTGTGAAAATTGGATGAATAGTGCACAATTAATTATTATGATTCTGCTAATCTAATCTCAGTAATCAGGGCTGCAGCTAAAGCGATGTAGCAAAAATGGGATTGACTTCAACAACAATCACATTAAAAATACACAAAGAATCTGCGTCCTGACCACAGAGCAATGATGAATGTGAGCTGTGTCGATAACATCGATGATCTTTAAATCTGTAAAAAAAAAACTGTCTTTGAAGGGAGAAAGTGCAAACTTTAAGAAGAGCTCAATACATTACTATATAGTTCAAGAAAATAGGTTTATTTATTACTTTTGGTAGCATAATTCTTATTCTTCTAACATATTTGAATGTTTGACTCAGACACAAAGTTCACTGACAGACAAGAGTTGTTTTTACAGGATGTGGGTTTGATGGATAACTTTCATTAATTGTCATTTCATAATGGGTACTTATATAGAACCTTTCTATCTAATCAAGATACTCAAAGCTCTTTACAACACAGTCTGTGCCCTCATGCCTCCACACACACATTCATACAGCTCTCTACTTCATCTCTACAAAGATAATCTGAATCTGTAGAGATTAATCAGAGCTTTAGATCACATTCATACATCGATGGGACACATCGGAGGCAGTGTGGGGTGGTGTAGTCTACATACCGTGTTTAGAAACAAAAATGTTATCATCAATTTATTTTGATTTTTAAGCATATTGAACATGTTCAAATTTATCTGATGCTTTTATTTGACTAAATGAGCAGCAAACTTTGTACAACAGTTGGCTTTGTGTTGAAAACATGTTATGCTGCTGCTGTCCGGCGTATTGTTTTTATACTAGTGTATTTCTAGTTAACATTTTTCTTAGTTCATATCTTAGATCTTATTACTGTCTTTCTTTTACATTTTATAAGTTTACTGGATGTATCTGGGACCCTGCGTACACAATTTCGTTCCACCTCATGTACCACATGTGATACGAATGACAATAAAAAACCTTGAATCCTTGAATGTAATTTATAAAACTGTATCAAAGCAAAGCGCTGCATACCAGTAGATTGTTACGGAAGCGTTTAACTGACGTTTAACATATCAGTGACATGTGCCTCATGATATGTCATGTATCATTTTGCACTTTTAAGTGGGCATTGACATTTTTAAGCTCATAGTGGGTATACTCCATATACCCAAGTATCATGAAGTCTACACCACTGGGTTCAGTGACTTGCCCAGGAACACTTCAGCATGTTATTGCTGGTGGAATCGAACCCCCAACTCGAGCACTGGAGGACAACCGCTCTAACCACTCAGCCAGAGCTGCCCTCTGCCCTTAATCAACTCCATGTGAATGTAATACAATATCCTTTTATTCAGTTGACTGTAACAAGATGTAATATTTCCTGAGATGCATAAATCGAATAAAAAAAAAAAATTGTTTATGGACCCCCTATAAAATGAACTGCTTCTATTTTATTCCAGTCACATGTAGCCAATAGGAAAATAAATTTTGGCAAACTAATAGCTATTTTAGGATAAAATTCAAACTATTTTATCTAAAAAAAAATTACCGTGGGGTTTGATCATTTCACTTCAGCACTCCCATAGCTCAAGAAGAAACCTTCATTCTCAAAACGTTTTCAGAAAAATAAGAAATTGTCACATGTTCAACATTTAAACACGTTTTATAATCAAACTGTGACCCAGCTCATCCTTCTTCAAATGGGATCAGCACCTTCCCACATTGTGTGAGCTGCACGCTGTCCTGTACATGTTTAAAATAACTCACTCTGAGTAGTCCCGCTTGCAGTAAAGTTTGCGGTCCCGCAGAAAGCAGGAGTTCCTCAGGGCGTCCCCGCACGCCGCGCACCTCACGCACTCCTCGTGCCAGAGGCAGTCGGTGACTCTGAGCAGGAATCTGTCTCTGATGGGCCGATGGCATCCCGCACACACTGCCCGCACATCCATATCTGCAATGTTCATCCACAGATTAGATGAAATCCTCCGACAAAGGCTGAACTGAAGCAAGTTTAATGAAGAGTTTGACAAATAAACTGAGCTTTAGATTTTTTGTTGAACTATTATAAAAATCAACTAAAGTTAGGACTAGGCTACTTTGTAACAAGAGATTATTTAAACCAAGATTTTGTGCAAAGTTTACAGACGCAAATAAAATGTAAATCTGCCTTTTTCTGAACTGATGAAACTTACCAGTGAAATGCGAGTTTCTTGACGGGGAGAAACGTGATGGGATCAGAAAACTCCCACTTCTCCCAGCATCTCCGGCGCGCGGGGTCCGGCTGCAGGTTCCTGCAGGGGAGCGCGCGTGAAGAGACTCCCCCCGGCCTCCCCGAGTCCACACTTACACACGCAACTCTATTCTAACAGAACAATCCTCAACAGTCAAACCAGCAGAGAGGAGAGACTTGCTCCACGTGCAGGTGCAAGTTACCTCTCCCCCAGTCTCCCCCCTCTCCTCCCCTCCTTCTGTCACTTTCTCCCTCTCTCTGATCACAAAGAGACACTCGTTTTCATTGTTTACAAGATGAAACCAGTTCAAAGTTCACATTTTAATGGATGGATGGATGGATGGATGGATGGATGGATGGATGGATGGATGG